TCTGATGAGATATTTTACATTTTCTTCTATTTTTACATTCTTTTGACTTTGTTTTATTATTTCCTGATTTCCCATGAAATCATTAGCTTTGACTTGCCCAATTCTAATATTTAAGGAATTATTTTCTTCAGTGAGTTTTTGTATCTCTTTTTCTATTTGGCCAAGTCTATTTTTTTAAGGTATTATTTTCTTCAGTATTTTTTTGTGTCTCTTTTGCCAAGCTGTTAATTCTCTTTTCATAATTTTCATTCTCATTTCTTTCCCCAATTTTCCTCTACCACTGTTATTTTTTTCTTTAACTCTTCCAGGAATTTTTGTTGGGTTTGGGTCCAATTAGCAGTTTTCTGTGAGGCTTTTTTTGTAGCTGTTTTCATGTTGTTGTCTTCTTCTGGGTGTATGTCTTAGTCTTCCCTGACACTGTAGTAGCTTTTTATGGTCAAATTCTTTTTTTGTTGATGTTTGCTCATTTTTCTAGACTTTTTTTTAAACTTTGAACTTTTTGTTAAAGTTGGACTCTGCTCACTTGGGGGTGGGAAGGCACTGTCTCAAGCTTCCAGATTTTTTGTGCTCCTCTTTTCAGAGCTAGTTTTAGAGGTCTGCAAGTTTTTGGTGCTTCCAAGGTAGAGAGATCTTGGAAGAGGTATGGTCACTGCTCTCCTGGTCTGCACTCTGGTCTTTATCTAGAAAGGGCTCTGGACTTTATCTAGATTCTGCTAAGCAGATAATCAGCCCCTGTAATTGAAAGCACTAGCACTATTGTTTGCCTTGGAACTCTGACCAGGATCCCTGCTCTCTTGTGACTGGTGCCCAGTGCTCCCATCTACCCTGGAACTAGACCCACAACTGTATATGGGCAATAGTGTTGCCAGTCAGTGCCAGCTACACCCAGTCCTAGCAAAGCATCCCCTGTAATCTCTTTCCAACCAGTTGTATGAACCCCTTACTGTTCCTGGCCTGAGAATTCCCAAAGCTGCTGCCATTTCCACCACCAGGTAGGTGGGCTTCAGACCAGCTTCTACCCCTGATGCTGCAGACTTCTCCTGCTGAGCTCTTGAGTTTTCTTAGGCCAAAAAGAGTCTCACTTCAACCTTTTGTTGGTTCTACTGCTCCAAAATTTGATTTGGGGCATTATTTTAAAATTATTTGGAGGGCAATGTTGGGAGAGTTCAGCTGGGTAACTGCCCCAAATCCATCATCTTGGCTCTACCTCAAATTTATATAGAATTTTAGACAGAGACATCATGTTGGATGCTGCCCTATTTATAGGAACAATCAAATAAAAGTATTTTCTAACTTGGCTGATAAGGAGGGAGGAATGAGGGACAGAATGCAGAGAACTTAACCTTAATTGTACCAGTCTAGCAAGAGGCTGAAGGGGGTTAATGCCCAACCTGTAGGTTTATTAACCTTGGTATACATCTATCCTGCGAGGCTGGGACTCTACCATTCAAACTGGTTTTTACTGGTCAACAGAGGTGAGAGAGGGAATAAGCATTTATATGTCACCCACAATATGCCAGGCACTGTGCAAGCCCTTTATAAGTATTATCTCATCTGAGCTTCACAACAACCCCGAGGCTAAATGCTGTTATTTTACAGTTGAGAAAACTGAGGCAAACAGAGATTAAGTGACCTGCTGAGGGTCAAGGGGCTAATAAGTGTTAGAGGTCAAATGTCAGCAAGACCTGACTCCAGGACCAGGCCTTTATTCACTGTGCCACCTAGCTCTTTCCATCATCTCTTACAGCAGTCTTACAGCAGTCGCTTTAATTGTTGGGAAGTCTTTTTGTTTGTTTGTTTGTTTCATGATATTAAGCCTAAATTCGCCTTTTTAAAACTGGTGGCCTTTGATCCTCTTTCCATATGATAACCCTTCATAAACTTAAACATAACCATCATATTCCTACTGAGTCTTTTCTTCTCCAGAATATGTCAGCAGTGGCCCTTCCGACTTCCAAAATTATACAGAGATGTTATTGTAAATTTGCAGTTACCATTAGCACAAAATCTCATCCTTTCATCCCAATCTCAGCCAGATTCTGTTCCATATTCTCCACACTAAAATTAGATACCCTAAATTTTAGTGATAATAACATTGTGTACAATTCTCAGATTTTTCTGCTAATCAATATTGCTGTCATACCTAATAAATCCTTCCAAAATCCTATATGGAAAAAAACAAATAAGTAGGTTTTAGGTAAAAAAAGGAACTATCTTATGTGCTTGCTAGCTCCCATTCTTTGATGTCAGCCCCAAAAGTGACTTCTGACCCTTGCCATATCAGATTTAGCTATTATAATGTCAATAGAGTCTATATAACTCTAAAAACGAAGCACCAGATTCATCTGTTATTTTGTTTAAATGTCTATCCAATAAGCAAATTTCCAACTTGATTGTTAATTAACATAGCCTCCTTTAATTAAGAACAAATTTTATTTGTGTAGATACCCATTTATCTACACTCTTATGAGAAAGAAGCAAAAAAAAAAAGTATGAGAGAGATTCAGAAAAGCAGGCTTGAGGGAAAGTTGTTCAGTATAGATTCAGACCAGGCTTCTAAGTTTTAAGTCTCCAGCATCCCACAAGTGAACTGCTATGGCCAGTGATGGGTAGAGAGAAGAAATAAGTGTGAAGTTGTCTGTGGACACTACAAAAGATGACCTTCAGCTTCAACAACCCCAATGGGGTTGTTCTCAGAGAGATGGTAGTATGGTATAGAGGTGAGAGCGTTAGACTGGGATTAGGAGATCAGAGTTCTAGTACCAGCTTTTATTGTCTCTCTCTATGACTTTGGAACAGTCTCTTCCCTTCTCTGTACTCAGATTCCTCATCTGTAAGACGGAGTGGTTGTTCTAGTTTCTTCTGGATGTGACATCTGAGGTGGTTCTCAGATCAACTCTAAGTTAAGGTACCTTTTGGGTCAGAGTTCATCTCATAGTAGAAAGGAGCTCAGGACAACAAGATGGATTTTGTGTCAGAAGATCTAGGCTTGAATCCCTATGTTGTCACCTACCTTTGTGACTAAGTCATGTCATATCTTTGGACCTTGGTTCTCTTATCTATGAAATAGGATGGGGCAGCTAGGTGGTGAAATTACTAGAGCACTGGCCCCAGAGTCAGGAGGACCTGAGTTCAAATCCAGCCTCAGACACTTACTAGCTGTGTGACCAGTGGCAAGTCACTTAACCCTGGTTGCCTAAAAAGAAGAATAATTAAATAGAATGGCTTCTGAGATTCCTTCCTGCTCTAAATACAGGCTCTAAAGTGAGTTATACCATAATAATATTGAACCTGATAATAGTGAACCTGGTGCACTATAAGAGTCTGAAGTTTGAAGCATCAGAAATTAAATTAATTTAATTTAGCTCTAATTCCAAGCATATTTTGAAAAATATAGGCAAACACTCATATGATAATATAGCTGTAGTGGTAAGTATATTTGAAAACTGAAACCAGTACCTAGTAACCTTTGGTGTCAAGGAAAATATTCAATTAACTAGAAGACCCCATTCCTTAACTAGAGTACTTTAAATAAAGAGGAGGTTATTGATTTTATTAATTCTAAAATATATAATAGTTAATATCAAAGCCCTCTGTTGTGAAAATATAATAATGCATCATCTTGTTGCATTAAAATACAGAATAAGCGGTTAAGAAATAATTACAATTTACTATATTTGTATCACTATGTTCCTCAAATGTCTCCATTTAAAAATCATTTTCTTTTTTATACTCTCACAGTATTCCCCAGAAAGCAGAGGGTAGAAAGAAGTCATTGATGTTGGATTCCAAGGCCAAAGAATAGAAAATGAGGCAAAGAAAAAATGGAATATAACATGACTCTAATCATGCTGTACGCAAGGGTCAGGACTAGACTCCAAGAATCTTTGCTCTGTTTTGTTTGAAAATTAAGGTTAACTTAGAGACAATGGTCTGTGCATGATCAATTTATTAGTTAGGCTACCAGGAACCAATAAATTGGGTCAGTGGCCTCTCTTAATAACCAAAGACCCTGAGGTAGGGCTTACCAGCCTTCATATAGTTTTGGGAAGTACAAGAAAACAAAGAACAGGTGGGGAAAACAAGGCAATTGGTTACAGGGTTGACAGCATCATGTATGGGGACGTGAGTGATTGGAAATTAAAAATGAGGGGCTAGCAACAACCCCCTTCTTCCCTCCTGTGACTAAGAAATGTTCATTGTTTGAATCCATCAGACTTCTTTGGATAACAATCCAGACATAACTGGATCATGTAAAGATACTAGACCAGATTCCCTGGTGTCCACCTGCATTCCTCAAGGATAATAGATTTCCTTGAGGCAAGAATAGAACAATGATTAGCAGGAGAGCTAAACTTCTAAACTTAGCCCATAGGCAAAGAGACAAAGAAATGTGGCTTAAGCAATCATACAAAATAGGACAGTAATATATAGAATAGGATCAGTTATAGAATAGAATCAATTATAAAATGATACAGAATCAATTTAATTTCTTTACCTCCCTCTCAGAGGAGCATTAAGGGAGTTATTTGGAAACTGTTCCCTGTAGGCATTTCCTTGGGAGTTGTAAGGACAATTTCAGTCTTAGGGTTTCCCTTCCAGTTTTAAGGTAGTTCTGGCTATATGTCCATTAGCATTCTTTCTGGACCTTTAAAAGTTGGCAGTAGTATCAGATGACAGATGGAAAGGGGTGCCAATCAACTGGGGTCCTCAACTAACTCCATAGGGTACTGGAAGACTCTCAGATCAAGTTATCCTTTCTGAATCATTTCCCACGTGTACCAGCGGCAAAGAGGCAGCAAGGTATTATGGATAGTAGGCCCCTGGGTCTTTTTTTTTTTTTTGTCTTTGGGTAATTAAGAACTTCTTCCCAGTCCATTCCTGTTTCTCCCTGATTCCACTTCCAGGATCAACGATTCAGTTACACCATCCATTCTTTACTGTCAACAACTATTTGCCCTAATATTTAACTACCCCCTGCACATTTCTCTTTCATGCAGGGAGCTGAGCCAAACTACCAAGTCTTGATGCGCATCCTCATCTCTCGAAGTGAGACTGACCTCCTAAGCATAAGAGCGGAGTTCAAGAAAAAGTTTGGAAAGTCCCTCTATTCATCTCTCCAGGTCAGACCATGCCAAGAGCCTCACCCTTGAGGGGCAATTCACCATCTTGAGCCCCAGAGTCTGTCCTTACATTCTGTCCCCATTAGTCCTATGGGTACAGTTTAGGTTTAGTGGCTTCAGGGAGGATATTTCTCAGTTGGGCTGAGAATGGGGTAGAGTTTGGGGGAACTAAATCTGAACCATGGTGGGAATGGGCTTACTTATACTTGATTCCCCTCTCTTCAGGAGACCATGAGAGGGGACTGCCGGTCAGCTTTACTAGCCCTATGTCGGGCTGAAGACATTTGACATACATCCCCCAGAACCTTGTGTCTGCCACTTCCATCTACCCCTCTTGTCATTTCCAAGGATTAGAGACATGCAGGCCTGGCTGGGCCTTCTGGAGGTCATTTTGTCTATTCCTTTGCCTTTAAATAAGATGACTTCACAAAAACCAAACAGGAATCTCTCCTACGCTCCTAAGTTTCATCTACTTTTAAAGGTCCCTGATAATCTGCAGTCTTGCTCCTCTAGCTTTGCACTGGCTCTTCCAGTCTTTACAAGGTACATATGGTCAGTGGAGAATTTCACAAGAGCCTAAACTTTACAAGCAAGTTTATGGTTTGTCTTCCTTTGGGTGGAGAACTTAGGAGCTAGAGAGGCTTTGATCTCCACTTTTTTTTTTTGATCTGCACTTTCAAAACACAAACATGAATTGTTTCTAGATCCACCTCCTCTACTCTAGACCCTCCTCTCCTTCCCACCCCCACCACTCATCCTTCCTTGGGGAAGAAAGACAATAATTTAGATCAACAATGAAGAAAGTAGCCACAGGGCAGAAGACACCAAGTCAGAGGTTGCAAGAGAGGAAATATCTTCTATGTTAGGTGGGGTATAGGGAATGGGACCAAGATGCCTTTTAAAGTTTCTGTGATCAACATGTAGCCTGACCCAAATCTCATACACCAATGTTGATTTAAAGTGATGATTTAGAATTGGAACACTATGTATATAGGACCTACAGTGAAAAAAACAAGAGCAACCAAATGGAATTTCAGCTCCCTCTGTTGGCCTTAGGACAAATTGCCCTCCACATTCCTCACCCTTTTTCCACACCTCACCATGACAAATACTCTACTCCACCCTGCCCTATAGGATGGTATGAAGTGTAAGGTTAAAAAAAAACTCAGGAAAGAAGTTTTATTTTCAAACTTCTAAGAAGGCATTAAAAATGCCAGGTAGAAACCCAAACAAAACCCTGAAACCAAAATGAGAAGCATGCCCTGGGGACAGCCAAGAGAAGTCCAGCCAACTGGAGGTGAGAAGAAAGGGACACTCTAGACTAAGAAATTTCACCCAGGAGCCTGAATCTGTGTATTAGTGTCTCTGTATTATGGAGCAGATGATGGGGCAGCATGAACCCCGTCCCTCATCTTGATGCTTCCCTGTATAATGGGGAGAAGGATCAGGGGACAGCAGCAAGTGGGCATGAGATATAGGAGGCACAACCCTTGGACAACACTGAGAATAGCCCCATGGACTTAATCGGCTCTTGCCATAGCAGTTGCTCTCTGCTCCCTAGTACCCCACTACTAAGAAAACCCAGAAGGGCTAGGTTGAACAGGCAGGCAGATGGAGGAACCATAATGAGAAGCCTCTCAAAGAAGTGGGGCACATCAGACTAGGCACAGCAACTTGGCTTGGGGTGCAGCTATAGGAGGACACAGTCCGATTCCTGCTTTGACCGCTGCCTACGTTCTCCAGCTGGACGTCCAGATGAGGCTCCTCTCTCCTGTATCAACATGAACAATTGGTCAACTATCTACCCTAGAAAAGTATCAGAAAAAGTAGAGTTTGGAATTCTAGGCTGATGGGACGGTAGAGAAGACAAAAGTGAAAGAGAGTACGGATAGACTCTTCGGAGGGGAGAGTATTGGGAGGTTTGGGAGCTGGAAGATGAGAAAAGCCGAGGTGAGAGATATTGAGATTAGGGACACTTGGGGGAAAAAGACTAGCCTCAGGGAGACCAGAACAGGCCCTGCCTAAGGAGGGAGTACCAGGGCCAGTGCTAGGGTGGGTTACCTGTGGGGTTGGGGCACGGGCTGGCATGGGCAGTGCCTGCTGTTGCTGGTACTCTTCCTGCTGCAGCTGCCTGGCCAGTTCCAGATCACTGAGACCTAAGGTGCCTTGTTGCTGCTGTTGCTGGAGGGACAGGGCAATCATGTAGTCCTGAAAAAGAAAGTGGGCTGAGGACAAAAGACACTAGGGAAACTCAGTTCTAGCTTTACCAATAAATCCCTCATTCCCCCACCCACCCAACACCACCCCAGATCACCAGGCCTTTCTCCCTCGCAGCCAAAGACAAAACAAAACCAAAAAACCAGTTAACCTTGTATAGTCAGACAATAAGTAGGGGAAATAGAAAGCAGGAGGAGAAAGAAAGGAAGTAGATGGATAGCCCTAACCTGAGATCTACGAATGCCTGAGTCTGATTTCAGGGGGTTTGTGAATGTGGAATGGGTGAAAAAAATACAACTTTATTTTCACTAACCTCTAACTGACATCTAGCATCTCCTTCAATTGCAAATTGGGGAAAACAAACAAACAAAAAACATTGTGAGAAGAAGTGGGTTGGCTTCACCAGACTGCCAAAGAGGTTGATGACAGAAATGGTTAAGAACCTGTACTAGATCATCAAAAACAGATTAAACATCAAATTACATGCCTCACTCCTTACCTGCTGTTGCCCCATGAAACCAACATGAGCCCCTGCTTGTCCCACTCACCTGATCCACTTGTCGTTGGGTCTCCTGAGAGTGAGCCCCACTCCCCGCCCCCGCCTCCTTGCCCAGAGCTTGGCTTAGGTGGAAGTCAGAGTCACAGAAGCAGCTGTCTCCATCTACGTTGTGCAGGCTCTCCCAAACCACCTGTTCTTCCTGCAGAAAGCCCTGATCAGTGACCAATAGGTAGAGATGGCTCTGTCAAAGTAAAAGAAAGTGTTCAGAAAACAGTTGATGGGAGGGAGTCTTGGGGATTTTTATGGACGTACAATTGCTGGGAAGCAACTGGGGTACATTTGAATCTCCTGGGTTTGGTGAAAGAGTGTGAGCATAATTTTGGTTATATGCATCTTTTTTTTTTTATCACATGTTTCCCTAGGATCACATATTTAGAGCTAGAAGGGGCCTTAGTGCATTATTTGGGAATAAGGGGATATCTGAGCATAAATGTATCTTAAGTATGTGATCCCTGTGGTTCTGTTCTCCCTGCTTCTTCCTCACTGCAATGCCTGCTACCCAAGGGCTATGGAGATGGAGTCACAACCAAATTCTTCATTGAAGGACATTAGCTTAAACACAGTGAGTTGGGAGAATATTATGTAGGAAAGAGGTCACTGGGAATACATAAACCCCTAACCCCCTGAAACCTCTATCACCTTATGCTTGATCATAGTGCTAAAGTGATTGTTTCGAAAAAAGACACTGAGTTCTCCTTCCTTGGCAGCTGCTGTTAGCTCACAGAGTCCATGGTATGTCAACTGTGCTGCTGTCACTTCCAGAAACTGCTCTGCGATTAAGCCTGGCAAGGAAAGCACAGATTGGGATGAACTTTGGTTTAGACCCAGAGTCTGAAGCTGAAAGGATCCCCCAGAGATGACCCTAAAACTCTGGAGGCCCTTTTAAGGGCAATTTTCTTTACCTCCCCAAATATTACCTCCACCTGCCCTATTGCCTGCCTTAGTCTCCCCTCCCCATAAAGCAGGAGGTGCGTTCTAAGGGTAGAGAGTAGCGGCATTACCTTCTGTCACAAGGTTGGTATCATTTGAGTGCTTACAGGTGATGATTTTCTCCACCAACTGATTGTAGCTCAGTTTGCCAACTGCGCTCACAGCCTCAGGGCTCTATAGGGATGATGAGGTTGCATGAATGAGAAGAACCCCCTCCCCACCACCCCAGGGATGTAGGATGCCTCCTATATCCCACCATGGCTACAGCAACATGACCAAAGATGCCTGATGTCTCAACTCATAAAGAACTGGTACAGGTTCCCACGTGCTATTTACATTTCTTTTTAATGTCTTTTGTTTAAGGTTAATCTGCCCAGAAAATCCCATCAATCATTGCTCTCTGTATTCTAAGAGCCCCCTCAGCCCTCTTCTCCTTTCCCTCTTAACCCCCATTCTGTTCCTGCTGCTCTCCCCAGCACCTTGTCTTGCTTCAGTTTTGTTTAGAGAAATAGAACTCCTTGCACCCTCACCTGTGGATCCACCAGCCAACCATGATAGAGGGGAATTCCAAGTAAGTCAAAGACACTGCACTCAGGTGTATATTCAAAATCAGAGACGCCTGTGAAGCGCACGTTGACATCCAGACCCGTGGCCAGTTTGGGTAGTACTGTCATTGCATCGTCTACATTCTGGGGTAGGGAGAGGGGAGAGACAAAGAAGCCAGCCCATACCTCCACACTCTCCACACATCTCCAAGAAGAGAACAGAATCCTGCTATTTCTGTACTCCCTAGTCCAATAGTCTTGATTCATCTTCCCTAGAACCTTGCATGATTCATCCAACCTCTTCTGATCTCTGCCTTTGCTTCATCAACCCAAACAGATAAGGATCTTTCCAGGAGAAAGAACCCCTGCCTTAAAAATGGGGAAAAGGGAAACACACCAGGGAAAGAGGGGAGAAGGTTTGTCTAAAGTACCCAGTGGTGAATATAAATCTTCACATCTCTATCTTGGAAGTCCCTCCTGTCTTACCTGCTGAAAGTTTAGCTGCAGTGCTTCTGACTTCTCTTGTGGCTTGATGGATAGTAGACAGTCTCCTATGGTAGAAAGTCCTTTATGAACTAACCCTGACAAACCTCCCAAACAGGTTCTCCCTTCCCCTGGATAACTGGAGATCCAGAAGAGAAGCCAGATATGAAGCTATCTTAGAATGCATCTAGTTTCAACCCCGCATTTTATTAGATAAGCAAACAAATCCAGAGAGGCTAGGCAGAAAGGTAGTAGCCAAGCAACAGCTTGAATTCAGGTCTCCTGATGACCAACCTGGTGTTCTTTTACCAGCCAGACTCATAGAAAGCATCTCACAAGGCAAACCCCTTGCTATTCTGAATTTCAATTCTAGACAAATCCACTACCTGCAGAGCTGCATTGAATACCACTCCAGTCCACATGCAACTCACTCACCAAGATGTGCCATTAGCTCTTCTGAAGTGATCACTTCCTTTTGAGGGGCCAGCTTCACCTGAAGACAAGAAGGAATAGCCAAAGAATTAATGGTGTTTCTGTCCTTTCACAAGTTCCAGAATACAAAGCATTGTAGAAAAAGGGACCTATGGGGGTGGAGGGGTGGGGAGGCTAGGTGGATGAAGTGATATGAATAAAAACACCTACAACTACAATAAAAAAAATGGAGATTAAATATCAGGAAAAACCTCAAAGAAGAATGGGATCTATCTTTGAGTTACTGAAACAGATGGCATAATGTGAAGTTCTGTTACCATTTGAAAGAAACAGGAATGATGTGGAAGGTAGCTAGAGAAGGAGGCATTCTACACTTCCCCTCAGCAGAAACTCCTCCTGTGCCCCCCCCCATGCATATATGTACATACCTTCCACTGAAGAAAGAGGATGTTCATGATGGCAAGCAGTGGACAAGGCCCATTGGTGCTCTGAGTGATAATGGGTGTCCGCTCCCCCTTCCAGGGGATCCACTTCACACAATAAAAGTCAGGCTCCTGCTGATGGTTTGAAGGAGACTGGGGCAGCTCCTGAGGGCTGGGCTCCTCCTTCGCTGGTCCTGGTTGCTGTAGATCATCTTCTGGAGGTGGTGATTCCAAGTTACCCTTGTCCTGGGCCAGCAGTGACACTTGGTCTGTTGGTTCCTGCCCTCCAACTGCACCCTTAGCATCTTGAGTATCTTCGTCTTTAGTGTCCAACTCTGACTCTGACAGGACTTCATTATTTTCAAGGGTGTCTGCTTCTGGAGTCCTGATTTCATCAGAGGATGGCTGGCCAAGCTGAGGGTGCTCCATGGCTAGAAGGAAGCAAGTCAGTTGTGTTCCACAGGTGAACCCTCTCCAATGACCACAAGGATATATGTTCAGTCCAGGCTTGTTATCAGCAAAGTGAATAGTCAGGGAAAAGTTAAGCATCAGATATAGGTAGATCTAGGGAAGTCTAGGAAAAGGATAGTAGTGACAGTGATGAAAAACTGGGTGTGGTTCAGGCACTGCCCCTCTACTGGATACAAACAGGACTAACTTCTTCTTTTCTTGGCTTGTATAAACAGTAGGGTCATAGGCTGGTCACTGTCTGCCTCTATCTGGCTGTTACTAGATGGAACTAAAGAGGAGAAAACATACAAATATGGGGTGGATCACTCCAGTGAAATCAGGAGCACAGACTGGAGTCAACTCTCGAAAACAAAGCAAATCAGAAGAGAAAAGAAACAAGAATAAGAAGAGAAACAAGGGGACTGAGACACACAAAGGAGATAGAGGAAGAAACCCTCCCCCCACCAAACAGCACTAATTATTAAAATCCCAGTGTTCTGCTCACCAAATGAAGAACATCAAGACAATAACCCCAGCCACAACTCTCAGAAACTGTAACTCTCAGAAAGAAGAGGATTGAAATCATTGTCTGGACCCCTCGTCCAGGGGGGTGAAAAGTGACTTGCACAAGGTCACACAGCTAGTAAGTGTCAAGTGTCTGAGGTCACATTTGAACTCAGGTCTTCCTAAATCCAGGGCTGGTGCTCCTTGGACCCCTCTGTCTTACAACAAGGCCCTGCTACCTGCCTGCCCAAGAGATACCTTGAATAGATAAAAGCTTTATGCTTTTCCTCAAAGAACAAATTATCTGCTTTCTCCCTTCTTTTTCATGAGGGGTCAAAGAGTGAATAAGTTTAAGGTACTTGGAATTTTTGGAAAAGAGGGATAGTAAATTAGAATAATGCCCCCTTTAGGGCACTGAGGGAAATTTTATGCTTTTCTGAGAAAACCTCCTTTCCTTGCATGGCCCCAAACTGTAGCAGGAGAGTAAAAGATAGACCTTGGGAAGGACTTCCCCGTGGGTGAGGAAAAGAAATATAGGAATAAGTTATGGAGACTAAATTGAAGCCCTGATCATACACTATGGTCTCCAGCCAGAGCACAGAAGCAATTCCTAAAATAGTAAGGAAACCTTTCTGGATTAATTGGAAGACAGGAATAACATTCCTCCCAACTCTACTTCATCAAATATGTTCACCTCTTTTTTTTTCTTTAAGGCAATTGGGTTTAAGTGACTTGCCCAGGGTCACACACCTAGTAAGTGTCAAGTGTTTGGTCTGAGGCCAGATTTGAACTCAGGTCCTCATGACTTCAGGGCCAGTGCTCTATCCACTGAGCCACCTATCTGCCTAATGAGATTTTTTTTTATGTTCACCTCTTTTGAACCTCACCCACCCCATATATATATATATATATATATATATATATATATATATATATATATATATATATATATATATATATATATATATATATACAACATACATTTCCCCCCTTGATTGTATATATTGTATATATATATATATATATATATATATATATATATATATACAACATACATTTCCCCCCTTGATTGTATATATTGTATAAGGTCAGGGAATTCCACGATTAACTTGTGAGGCTCTATAGAGAGATGAACCTTTGTCTGAGACTTTAATTCTATCTCTCCATGGATGGTGTGGACATGTTCATTGGCATCTGTAGATATATTGATAACTCACTGAGGGCGAGTGATTGAATCTTATAGACTGGAGATTGGCTTAGGTTGTTGTGGACTGATTTGCAATAGATCAGTTGACTCAGTCATTGGGTCAGAATACTCCTTTGTGCAGGGCCTATGAACTAAAACAGACATACCAAGCCTTTCATCCTTTTTGCCTTTTTGGAGGACAGAATAGAGAGTAAGACCTGGGCTCTGAGGGTTCCCAAATCCATCTTCCCTTCTATAATGACTCTGTTGGGCAGAGGTTCATTACTATCATCCATTTGGCCTAAGAGGAGTATTCTTGGAGCCAAAATCCAAGAAGCCCAATACCTCCTGGATGGATGGGAGATTTCCTGGTCAATGTCAAGGTCCTGGTCAATATGACCCTAGAATCCAGCCTTCTCTTAAGATAAAGGGGCATTTCCTGGACAACATCAACCTTGGGATTGTTTTTGTAATAATTTCAAGTCTGAGAATACTGGCACTCAGGCTTTTACAGATAGAAGGGAAGTTATTGGCTGGCACCAGCCTCTTGGGGAAGAAGAAAAGGATTATACATATGGCTCTTTGAACTGGAGGAACAGCAAGAGAATGAAGCTGCAACATGAGGGAGCAAAAGCTCTTTCTATTGTTCTCTGCTATCATGAATTATTTGGATGGTATAGGTCCATTGAGAAAGGGGTACATATCTAGCAATGCTTTTCCTTCCTAGGGATAGTCTGAGACTTCAGAGTAATACACTAAGGCTTAATGCCTACATAAAAATGAAACAGAAATTCACCAGAATATTTGGAGTTTGTCTCCCTAACAACCTCAAGTTCATTTCCCATTCTAAGAAATTTGAACCACAGGGTGGTACTAAGACTCTGGAGGACCACATAGGCCCTTTGAGGAGGGTGGGACTCACTGGCAAGGGAAGGAGAATCTTATTGACTTCTTAGAGACTGTGAATATTTGTTTTTGCATTTTCTAAGGAGTAGAATAAAGTCTGTCTTGCACTCAATATGCACTATTACCCTGAATGCTTGTACAGGAGCTGGCGATCCTTTTACCCCCATTTTTGGAGACTGAGTTTGAATTATAGTATGAAATTTCCCAAAGGCAACTCATCAGGAATGATAGAAGACAAAGAGACAAGGCCCATGTGGCTGTATCCAGTTGTGAACCCAAAACTTAAAAGGTTAAGCTTCAGGTTATACATGACTGGATCAGTAAATAATTAATTCACTTATTTAATGCCTGTTCTTGTTTTACATTCATCTAGCTACCTTTATGTCCTTTATGTCTACAACCATTGAACTAAGTAGCAATAAGGATATAAACATGTCTTGGACGATAGTTGATAAAAAGGATCTTAGGCCTTGATTTCCAGGAAAACATCCCCCTTTGACCCTTCTTGTTCGAATTCCTTTTACACAGGTTATCTGAGAGAGAAATGAAATCTTCATAGAAATCATGCATTTTTCATTTTCCTGTACGAGCTCAGAATGCTTTCCATTTTGAAATGCAGGGATTTGAAGGTAGAAGTTATAGGAAGAACTGGAGATGGGGAATGGGCAACGAAAGTCCAGGTTAGAAGAATTGGAGGAATATGGCTGTAGCATATGTACTCAAACTACCCATCTTCTGAACTTAAGTATATGATAGCCAGCTGCATGTCCTTGTATATTGTTAATTTTAAGTCAGAATGCACAGAAAGTACTTTCATGTTTTATTCCCTTCTCTCTCTCTCTCTCTCTCTCTCTCTCTCTCAAAATATTCTCTTTTTCTCTCTTCTCTCTCTCTTCTCTCCCTCTTTTTTCTCTCTGTCTTATTCCCCCAACCTTCCAGGAGCACTTAAAGAAAACTCAGGAGGTTGATATTAAAATGATTGGTAAAGGTGGAACAGTTTGGAAAGCCCCTCTCATATCTTCTGTGTAGTGCCAGAATCTATTTATAATTAACTGGGGGACTGGAAGCTAATTAAAGACTTCAGAGGCAGATATCCTTTAAAAAGAATGGGATGGGGATGAGAGGTGGTACAATGGATAGAGCACCAGTCCTCGAGTCAGGAGGACCTGAGTTCAAATCTAGCCTCTAGACTCTGGGCAAGTCACTTAACCCCAACTGCCTCACCAATAAAAAAGCCAAAAAAAAAAAAAGAATGAGGTCCTATCAGTTCATAAGAGACTAGATCAGGGACTAGGGACTAGACAACAAGAGAACTTGAGTATTAGAAATAATGACCATATATGATTGTACATGTATAGCCTGTGTTAGATTGCATGCTGTCTTGGGGGGGGGGGAATTTAGAACTCAAAATCTTATAAAAGTGAATGTTGAAAACTAAAAATAAGTAAATTAAAATTAAAAAAATAATGACCAGACTGGACAGAGACCCATTCCTCAAGGTATATAAAGTACATCCTGTCCTTATGCCCACCCTTGGTTTGGTGGGCTTTAGGATTTCATTTCATTTCACTGTAGCAGAGGTTATGTGGAAGCGGTCACACCAAAATTGATCAATTCTCTCTTCTTCTTGGCTCCCCAAATTCTTAACCATGCTCTCTACCTTAAGTCAGTGAGGATGAAATAAAGCCTTAGCCCTTTCTTGAGAGATAAGGGGCATTATCAGGGAATTCTTAGGGAACAGCCAATTATGACAGATAAGAAGGCAAAAGAAAAGAGAGACTTGTAGCTATTTCAAGGAGACCCCAGGAAACTTCCCTTTCTCACTTAAGTCCCTTATTGTCCCAGATTCCCTTTCAGCGTCCCCCAAACTCTCCATTCGTGGTTCAGAGTTTCTCCTCCAAATAACTCACAAGAGTATCGTGTGCCCCATCCACTTCCCTACACAAAGGAGTGAGATGCATTAAAGGAAAGAATGTAAGAACCAAAAAACTCCTCCTATATTTCCCCCCTCAAAAGACCTTTCAGAATGTGTGGAATAAAGCTTGGGAGGGTGGTGTCATCTCCCAAAGGCTAGATGGGAAAGAGAGATCAGGACAGGGGAAGTAATTAAAAGAAAGTTTTACCTTAAACCAGAGGGAGTTTCTTCAGGGACTCAGTTCAGGAGTTTGCTAGGGGGCTCCCAATCCACAGAAGGATGCTCTCTGCTCAGCTTCAATAGCTTCTCGCAGCTGTCAACACCTGGGCTTGACGGGCTTCAGAGCTGTTGGTGTCCAGGCTTGGAGGAAGCAGTTTCGTACTCACGCCCACCACAGTCAGGCAGTGGGAAAGAGAGGGGGGTGCCACAGATACAGCTCAGCTTTCTCCTCTCAGCCCCATCCTGTGTAACCTTCGAATACGCAAACCCCCTTAGGCTTTCGGAGGGTCTCCAGATCTAGGGTGCGCTCTCCAGGCCCTGACTAAAGCCTGGTTTTCCAGGGGGAAGTTTCTGTTTGTTCTTCTTTTTTCCTTCTTCTTTTTTTCTATTGAGAGAAATCATCAGTTAGAGACAGATTCCCTGGGGCAGGGGGTAGAGTGCCGAATTCCAAAAGGTTTTCATGAGGGCCATCTGCCGTGGTCAGCAGCTGGCGACGGGCAGAGAGAGGGAGAGGGAGAAGGAGAAGGAAGCGAGAAAAACAACAGAGCCCTTCTGTTCCCTCCCACTGCTGCTAGAGAGGATGAGGACTCTTGTGCCTCTCTGGTGAGAGTAGGGAAGAGCAAGAGAGGGGGGAGGAGCAGGAGAGGGAGGGGATAACATGCTGCCCACCCAGCACTCCCAGAGCTTTCAGTGTGTGTTACTTGCAATTGACTCATTTCATGCCAACGTGTATTTTGTCTTTTTTTTTTTTTACCCCTGTTCCCCTCCTGGTGCTCTTAGCCCCTGTTCTCCTTTCCCTAAGCCTTTGCTGTGTCATTTTTGAGCCCTAGACAAACTTGTTGAGCTCCCCTTGTACAACCTTACACCCAGTGGTAACTGAGAATGCAGCACAGTCAGTCCGAGACTCCTGGGTTCCATTTCTTTGGCCATTTCCCCACTATGATCACTTCCATTAATTACCAACTTAGGGATCATCAAAGAAGGAGCAGGGGTTGAGAGAGGGAAATAAAAAGATGGATAAGTAAATGAAAATGCGTCAAGGGACAGTACATTAACTTTGCCTCAGACACCACCATTGGGGTCAGGAGGGTAGCATGAAGGTACGCGGGGACCCCTGAGAAGATAAGTGACAAGGAGGTAGGACCCTAAGTTCAACCGAACAATCGTTAAGTGACTCTATGAGCCAGGCACTGTGCTAGGTATTAGGTATACAAAGTACCCAACAGAAGTCTTGAAAGGGGATGCACTAAGTTGGGGGTGGGTGGAAATTCTTGGTCTTAGAAGGTCAAGAGATGAGTTAGAGTGGAAAGAAGCCCTTAGAATCATAGAAGATTGAGAGCTGGAATGTCCCATAGACACTTCAGACTCAACATTTTCAAAACAGGCCCCTTTCTTTTTCCCTCTAACCTACCCTTACTTCCAGACTTCCCAATTTCAAAAATGAAAGTCTCTTCTTTCAAGAAGGCCACATTCCACCCAGGGATACAAGACATATACAAATAAGTATATAGCAATAGAAGGTGTCAGTCAGTCAACAGGAATTTTAAAAGAGCCTATATATGCTAGGCACTGCTAGGTGCTGAACATACAAATAAAAGAATGAAACAATTCCTATTCTCAAGGAATTTACATCCTGCTGGGGGAAACAAGTACACATGTAAGTATGTATGAAATAAATATAAAGAAAATAAATACAATATTGCTAAATACAAAGTAGCTTGGGAGGGAGGACACTAGCAGCTGACATGAGGAAATGCTGAATGTAGCAGCTGGAGCTTGAACAGATCTTGAAGGAAGAGAGGGATTCTGAGGCAGATGTGAGACGAAGTACATTTTGGGCATGTGGTGTAGCCAGTACAAAGGCAGAGAGATGAGAGATGGAATGGGTTATGTGAGAAACAGAGAGAGGGTGAGTTTGGCTGGATCAGTGTGGGAAGAGGAGAAATGTCCAAGGAGGCTAGAAATATAGCTTGAGACATAATTGTACAAGGCTTTAAAAGCTAAATAGTGAACTTTATATTAAATCCTGGAGTCAGGAGGGAACCATTAGAATATATGTAACAGAGAATAACATGGTGAGCTCTGTGTTGAAGGAAAATCACTTTGGCAGTTGTATGGAGGTTGAACTGGAGTAGGGAAAGATTTAAGGCAGGCAGATCAATCAGGAGGTCTTTGCAATAACCTAGGCAGAGGTTATGAGGGCCTAAACAGTGCTGGTGGCAATAGAAATAGAAAGGGTCCAAAGGGAGAAATGACATGGAGATAGCTATGGCAAGACTGGCAGCTGACTAGATGGGTAGAGTAAAAGAGAGTTAGGAATTGAGGAAAATTCAAAGGTTTCTGGGAGACTGGAAGAATGCTGATATATTCTATGGAAATAGGAAAGTCTAGTTTTGGAGAGAAAGATATTTAGTTTCTGGTTTGCATATGTTAAATTTAAGACGTCTCTGGGACATCAAGTTCGAAATGCCTAGTTGGCCCTTGGTGATGCCCAGGGGAAAGTCTAGAGTTGGATATACAGATCTAAGAGTCATCTGTAGAAAGATGATAGTTAAACTCTATAGGAATTAATATGGTCACTGAGAGAGAATAGGTTGATAGAAAAGAGAAAGGGACCCAGGACACAACTATGTTCACCAGGAGTTATGAAGCATAAGAATAATGAGCCAGCAAAGGAGTCTGAGAAGAAGTAGCCAGAGAGATAGAAGAAGAACTGGGATAGACCACTGCGATGAAAATATAGAAAAGAAAGGGTACAGTACCTAGTTAACAGTGTTTAATACTTCAGAAAAGTCAAGGAGGATGATGACTGAGAATCAGATTTGGCAGTGAAGAAATACTTGATAAACATGGAGAGAGCAGTTTCATTTGAGTGATGGGTTTGGAAGCCAGACTGCCAAGGGTTGAAAAGTGAGTGAGAGAGAGGGAGGCAACCAATAGACATAGTTATTTCCAGGAGTTTGGCTGAAAAGGGAAGTAGAGTTTTAAGATGATAGCCTGAGAGGATGATAGGGTCTAGTGAAGGGTTTTGGATTGTTTTGAACCTAGCATCAAGAGCCACTGCTGGGTCCAAGAGATTGAGGCACTGTGTCCACTGTCTCCACTAAGGTGCCCCCTCTCTACTCTGAATACATGCCCATGACCCAGACCAGGTTCAGTCTCGAGGGAATGTGATTACTTAGAAGAAGGGACAGGATTTTTTTTTACTCATACACTTTAGCTCACTGAACCCCTACCTTGGCAATCTGGGCACAAATTATTTACAATTTTGGTTTTGGCTCATGTATAGTTCTCCCCAAAGGAGGAAATAGGAAGTTATTCAATGTACAATACAAATAAAGTATGGGACAGGCTTTTCTATGTAGAAGAGAAATGCTAAAAGACACAAAAGACTCTCAGCAGACATGGACAATAACTAAGGAATTGGTAACATATCTTCTATCTCATTGTGCCAAGAAGTTGAATCATAGATATCAGAACATGAAGCACTTTGCAGAACTACTGATCAGTCATTTCACATTTTACTTTATCTTCACACTCTCTCCCTCAAAGCCCATCTTTTTGGTTAGGTCAAGAGTATCTGAGATGGTACTCTCTCTGATGCAGGAACTACTCCTGTCAATAGAAGGGTCCACCTGGTGAACCCAGGATCTCTGGATCTCTCAAACTAACAAAGTCATTTGACCCTGAGCAAATCACTTAACCTCACTCAACTTCAGTTTCTTGTTGCTCAGTCATGTCCAACTCTCCCTGACCCCATTTTGGCGTTTCCTTGGCAAAGATTTTGGGCTTGTTTTCCGATTCCCTCTCCAACTCATTTTACAGATGGGGAGCTAAGGCAAACGGGGTTAAGAGACTTGCCCAGGGTCATACAACTAGTAAAGAGTCTGAGGCCAGATTTGAACTCAGGAAAATGAGTCTTCCTGATTCCAAACCCAGTGCTCTATCCACTGCACCACCAAGCTTCCTTCAACTTCAGTTTACTCGACTGTAAAATGGAGATAATAATAGCACTTACCTCACAAGATCATTGTGAGGATCAAAGTAACTAAAATAAATGAATGAACGAAGTGCTTCCCAAACCTTCAAGCACTATAAAAATGCTAGCTATGGATTTATTTTTGATGTTTGGTAGTCTAATGAGGAAGACAAACTCAGAACAGAATGGGTAGCCAGATCGGGGGCTCAGGTACAAGCTCATCTAGTGGGAATCCCCCTACTCTAGTTTCTTGGGCTTCCTTCAAGTCTCAGCTAAAGCCTCACCTTCTGCCAGAAGCCTTTCCCAATCAATCTCCCTTAACGCTGGTCATAATGCATCTCTGCTACATCGCATATGCTGGATACATACGTTTCCTGCATGTACAGTATCTTGTTTGTACATAACCGTTTGCTTCTTGTCTCCCCCATTGGATTATGAGCACCTTGAGAGCAGAGGCTGTTGTTGGCCTTTCTTGGATCCCCAGTGCTTAGCATAGTGGTAGTTGACTGACTGACAGGTGGCCCTCTCACCCCTTAGCAGAAAACCTCAGGGTTTTGTTTGTTTTGCTTTTTAATGCCACGTGGGGGATAGAAGGAAGAAATCAAACTGGAAACCGTCTCTTTTTAACTAATGCGGCAATTCCACCCTTGAAAACTCGAGTGGTCAAAATGCTCTAGGACTTTTTGAGGAGGGAGGTCGTTTTGTTCTCTCGGATCAAGGACTCCCCTGGAAAACCCAGGGAGGGTGGTTCGCTGTTCGCTATGAAACACACAAGACGACTATCTTAGATGCTCTGTGAACCAGAACTCTATGGACAGGCTTGGACTGAGTAGAAAAGGACAGAAGTCAAAGTTTGGGTTCTCGTGGCATTTGCAAGCATCCACTAAGTATTCTCTTCGGAAATGAACCTCTCTATCTTCTCCTGACTTCAACGGTTTCTTAAGCCCAACGGACTACATTTCCCAGCAAGCCCTGCGCCAACCCGGGGACGCATTCCTGCCTCCGGAAACCGCTCTATGGGCGGGGCCGAGGAAGAGGCGGCTCATGGCGTGGCGAGAAACAAGTTTCTCCACCCTCCGAGGGGCGGGGTGACGTCAGGCGACGTGACCGTCCGATGACGTGCCCCTCTTCGGGCATGGGGCGGGGTCGGTACGCGGTGCGTGCGAGCCCCGCCCCCCTCCCCTCCTCCAGCCTCGCGCCTCCCGCCGGCTGCCTGTGGCCTCCGGGCTCGGGGCGGGGCGCGTCGTGGGCAGGTCGAGGGGGCAGCTCGAGGGGCTGTGGAGGAGGCTGCGCCCGCTCGAGCTCCGCCATGGAGCGCTTCTTGCAGGGCTGTCGGGCCGCCGTTCAGGTAGCGGGGCCGGGGCCCTTCCTGTGAGGGCGGGGCGGGGCGGGGTAGGGAGGTGAGGGAGGGGACCCCGATCTCCGAGGGGCACCGAGCCGAGCTGCCATCCTTCCCGCCCCTGCGGGTCCCGGGCTCGCGGTCAAGGGCGCCCCTCCTCCTGGGGCCGAGCCTGGGCTCCTTGGGGTTCCCCGCCCCGCCCCCTCACGGGGGGCCGGAGTGCAGACCCCGGCCGGCTTCTCCCGGCTCTCCTCCCTG